TTAAATGAGGTATAGCTATATTGAAATTTTATTTTAATAATATTTTGACTTGAATTCCCTTATTTATGTTATATATGATTTTTAATTACTCAGTTACTGCAAAGGAAACATGTATTCGAAAAATCTGTGGTAGCCAAATCCAACAGTAAGACGTTTCGTAAGTTTGTCAACTTTTTTACTTAAATGTTTATATTTGTTCAACATATAATATTTTAAAATAATGGGAAAAAAATTTATTTTTTGATAATATTGCTGAAAAGATAATAAAATATGTGTCTCTTTTTTATTGATAAAACGTTATATTTGATGATTTTTTTCTTTTTTTTCGTTGCTTGTGCAAAAATTTCAAAATTATATGTGTAGGAAACTTATTTTTGTAAAAAAGTAATCAATTATTTTATATATTTTTATTCAAATAACACAGTTATCGACATTCTATTGGAAGCATGTCATGAAGGAAGATTAACTCGACAAGAACTTTTGGATCATGTGAATACAATGTTATCCGCAGTACGTGTTTATATTTCCACATTCAAACTATATGTAAACGTATAATAAAACAGGTTTTTATTTACATAGGCCATTGACACAACTGCCGTTACAATAAATTTTGTGACTTTTATGCTCGCAAATTTCCCAGAAGTACAGGTACGTAAACATTAAATTTATTAAAGTACAATACAAGTTATTAACTTACTTAATACATTATAAAACTTACAAATAATGTAATTTTAAGTTAGTAATTATAAGTAATATATTACTTACGTAACAAATTTAAATAGAATTATGCAAACATTTATTATTACTTACGCTTTAGTTATAGTTAGCAATATTAATTCCATAAGCAATGCACAAAATTTTAATCACAAATATAGAGCAATGTATTAAAAAATACACATCGCTTCAATTTATTTCATACTAGGAAAAAGCATACAAAGAATTATCAGAAATTTATGGCAATGAATCTCCAAAATCTGTACCAATTAAATATGATGATTTGCAAAAAATGGATTATTTGAATCAAGTTATTAAGGAAACAATGAGACTCTTCCCTGCTGTTCCTGTGATTGGACGAATTTTAACAGAAGATTTAAAAATAGGTACGATTAACTATAATTGTGTATTAAAATAATTTATTTAAAAATGTGTTTTTTTGTGCTACAATTAAAAGACAGAAAAACATGCAAAAGTAATTTTTTTATAATAAAACATGTATTTATTTAAACCATTTTTTATTATTACATTTTTATTAGAATAATATTTTAATATAAACGTATGTATGTTTTAGGAGAAACTATTTTACCTAAAGGAGCTGAAACAATTATGTCTATATTACATATGCACCGAAATAAGAAACATTGGTCGAATCCCTTGATGTTCGATCCAGATAGATTTCTTCCAGAAAAAAAAGAGCATTATTCGAAATATTTCATACCGTTTAGTAACGGACTCAGAAATTGTATTGGTAAGCACGAATGAAGAACAAAATATTATGATAAAATTGTTTTGTATATAATTAACAAAATTGCAGGTCAAAAATATGCGATGATTTCTATGAAAGTCATTCTAGCAACATTGATACGAACGTTTGAATTTAAAGTAGATAAAAATATCAAAATAGATGAAATAAAACTTAATACAGACATATCAATGAGTACTGTAGATCCTCTGAAAGTTAAAATAAAAAAGGGATTATTAAATTTAACAAATGTAACAATTTAGGTTAAAAGAATATGTAAATGGGAAATATGAGAAATAAAGGGTAAAGGATATAAGTAAATTACAAGTGAATTATTATACAGACAGTACCTATACTTTTTTTCAGTACATTTCATTAAACAAATGCGAAGAACATGTATAGCCATGTGCCAACAGATTCCATTTCGATTTTATTACAGATTCCGATACAATGTGTTTTCATTAAGCTTATTGTTAGCTTGTTTGGCAGCATGGTAATGCAACTAGCTTGAAAATGAAGATTAAAACTGAGCATAGATTGTTATTACATCATACGGAAAGAAACTTTGATATTGTAGAAGAAATTACAGTATTAATTTTATAAAATAGTCAAACATTGCTCAGAAGAATTAAAAAATTAGATAAATGGAGGATTAAGAGTCATCGCAGAATTCTAGTTGCTTATTTATAATCTTCTATATTCTGAATTCACCGTACACGTTTCGGCCGACTTTTCAAACATCTTTAGTACATATTGTTGCGCCCGCAGAACGGAATATCACACGCGTCAACAAAACTCGCGAAATTAAAGGACACAACACAACGCTTCAACAAAACAGAGAACACTTTAATAAGAACAGTAACTCAACAGTAACTCATACAATAAATAACCGAAAATAAGATTGAAAGATCGGAGCTGTTGTATACGTCCGCCCGAGCAGACAGCTTTCTAAAATCTGACATATGACAGCTTGTTTACAAACTGTCATAGAGACCCTTTAAACCGCTAATCGATATCGTCTTGACAACAAATATAATAAAAACTTTTGTTATTTACAAATGCCATATGACATTGGACCGATCGATATTATCGATCGGTCCGTCAGCTGTAACACACAGCATCAGCGGCAAAAAGCACAGGCGCAACACTGCCCCCCTTCTTCAAGATTGTCGTCCCGACAATTTTTCTTGAAATCAATCCAGGAAAGTTAATTATTGTCTTCAAATTTTTAGTGTCGACTCCAGGGCATTTCAACGACTTCCTGCTCTACCTTGTGCTGCTGCATCAAGTTACCGAGCGCCGTTATCTTGATCCCAATCGAACACCTTTAAATTCGAAAACTGTCGACTCCAGGGTACTCTCTTGGTTTCCTTGCTCTACCTTGTGCTGTTGCAACAAGTTACCGAGCACCAACTCAGGTCCTAATCGATTAACTTCTTCTCGCTATCTTCAATTCCTATGCCGCCGCTCTTCACAATTCTTCGGACAAGAGAGGGGTATCTGCCGTGGACCCATCGCCCTAAAAAAGACTTTTCAAGTCCCTGCCTCAGCATTTGCTCTTCGGCCCACGGGAAAACCACGGTCAAAAACCGTGGGCGAGACAGTCTTCTATGAAAGTTTTCTTTAAAATTCTATTCTTTTTATTTTATTTCTAACTTTGTCCTTATTCCTTCTTTCAAAATTTC